AAGCCACAACACAACAAAATTAGCACAACACAACAAAAATAAGCCGCAACACAACAAAATTATCACAATACAACAGACATAAGTCACAACACAATGGAAACAATTAAGCCACAACACAACAAAATTAGCACAACACAACAAAAATAAGCCGCAACACAACAAAATTATCACAATACAACAGACATAAGTCACAACACAATGGAAACAATTAAGCCACAACACAACAAAATTAGCACAACACAACAAAAATAAGCCGCAACACAACAAAATTATCACAATACAACAGACATAAGTCACAACACAATGGAAACAATTAAGCCACAACACAACAAAATTAGCACAACACAACGAAAACAAGCCGCAACACAACAACATTTGCACAACACAACAGAAACAAGCCACAACACAGCGAAATTAGCACAACACAATATAAGTCCTATGCATTGTGTTGTGTAGATTAAGTTGTGTTGTGCACTATTGGACCTCTGTATGTTTCTCCTATGTATGTAAAAAATAAAAAGTGTGATTGGGAGATATAAGTCACAATTGTTAGATATAAGGTTGCAATTATAAGAAATAGGCCTAGTCACAATTGAGATATAATGTCATATTGTGAGATAGGCTACAAAATTTCAAATTCACAGATATTTTGAGGTTTAAAGTCACATTGTGATACAAAGTCATATTTATGAGAATTTAAGTTGCAATTACAAAACATTTGTTCACAGTAACACCAAATTAACTGTGAGCAGTATAGTTGTAATTCCCTTCTTTTTTTTAACTCCAAGACACAAATAGGCTTCTATTCGTCACTATTCTGCATTATATCAGCCATCGGCTACCCTGCTCTCTAAAAAATTTGAATGCATAATGGCCATTAAAAAAACCCATACTAGAGGACCATTACTTAATAGTGCAACTGACAGGAACTTTGCTTTAGTGTTTATAATGTTTCAATGACTGGAGTTTAATTCCATTAGACAGTCTAATGAAAAAGAGGCCAAAATCTTGGTGATCTAAGACTGACATATACCATAAGATGAGAACACACTGTTGACATCACAGGTCTGGCGGTAAACGCTCTGGGCCAGCGGTTTCTTTTCACCTCTCTTTCATTGTTTCCCACCCTTCAAATGAGCTCACTTTTTAGTGATCACCTAGGTAACCACTGAAAAGCAAACTTGAGCTGTGAGCTCATAGAGATGACACAGTTTAACAAAGGCTACCTTCTCACTCTCTCTCTACACAATATAGACACTAATATACACATGCATATATTGTGTGAAGGCCGTAGGGATGGGGTAAGTCCAGCTATGCATGTGCAGACAGTTTACCCAGCGGCCTAAGCAATCCCTACCCTATATTCAGCCACCTAAATATCCCTGCTCCAGCAATCCCTTCTTAATTACAGGCCCATGGAGAAACAGGATCCTGGGCCACACAATGGAGTCTTTCTGCATGACAGTCCCATTACCAATATGAGGGAGGGGGTCTTTCTCTCTTCCCCTGAAAAAGGGATAAAGAATGTGGAGGCTCAAAGGAGACAAGCTCTTGAATAGTGGAAAGCACTGATTATTTTTACCTGTACAAAGCCGACAGGCAACTATTTGTAGCTAGTTTTTGTCTGTGAAGCTATTTTTTTTGTCCTATCTATTAACTTGTTCAAAAATACATTGAAAATGCAATTCATAAATACAATTTCTTGAATACACCTCTTCTATGATGATCAACTTTTAAATATATGTGAATTAAAATCCCTTTTATTGTTGTTTGAGGGGCATAAAGTCAAAAATGTTGACTTTACAACAGTCTGATGCTACAACTGATTTTATAATTAAAGGGGTCATATGATGCGATTTCAATGTTCTTGCTTTTTCAGACCGATGAGCTTTGTAAAAATTGACGCGTTTCAAAAAGGCGGGGCATAGAGGAGAAACAATAATGTACAGTATGTGGAAAATAATGTGTTTTTTTAACTTTAAACCGCATAGACACATTTCATTACACCAAATACACAAAATAATGTTCTTTTTAGCAGCATCATATGATCCCTTTAAGAAAAAGGGCATCATTTAAATAATTAAATTCTTCAACCCAGTTTGGCATAATCTTATATTTCTTGGGGGAAAACATTGGGGAGAATATTTTAACAAAATTCCATCGCTGCTCATTAATATCTGCCAAATCACTGTCACATGGAGCACCCAAAATGCAAAAACATGGAGAAAAAACTCAAATTAAAAATTATATGACAGGGAGGCCTTTTTATGACAAGGCAAGATTAGCTCAGGTTGCAAAATGTCATGTGGTGCAACTCCCCAAAAATGTAGTGATATTTCTGGAAAAAAAAAAAAAGTTCATTATGTTTATTAAAAAAAAATAAAAATACAAATATAAATTACAAATATAAAATACAAAAAAAAATTAATGAATTAAATATAATAATTTTGTAATTAAAAAAATATTACTTATTATAAGATAATGAATAAGTCTGAAATTTGTTATTACATTTTATTTGATGGTTACACCGCATGACAAACTTGAAGTTATTTAAATAAACAAGAATATAAAGAGTACATTTCTGAGAACTTGCCATGTGTGTTTTAAACTAAGTTTCTAAAAGATTTTTTTTTCTTTTTATTTATCATAGACACTTTTTAGGTCACTGACCTTAGCATGATTTGCACAACTGCTATGACAAAGGCTCTCAGAGTCCTGTGGTGTATCTAATCAAAGCGCCAGGGTGTATGAGCTGTAGATCATCTTGTTAGTAGAGTTTAAATGCAGCCTGTCATAAATACGCACTAACCCCAAAGTCAAAAAATGGCTAAATATAACATCTCTGTTCAGATGGTGGGAAAAATTAAACTCACAATAGAGAATGGTGGACAACAAAGTAAAAGAGAACATTAAAAAAATTCATGTCCCAACAAAAAGAAGTTTTTGACAGACTACAAAGCCATAACAGTTAACGTCTGGACAATATAACGGCCCTTGTAACAGACAATAAAGGAAAGCTAGATGTGGTGTTGGAAGTGAAACGGTAAATGAGATGGACTGACACCAGAAGTCTCCGGCGCGGCAGACATTCAAACTGCAGAGCGGCACAACTGCGCCATGTTGCACTCTACAATTAGCATGGTCGTAACTACAGCCCTACTGACAAATTACAGAAGCGGCGCACAGAGAGATTCCACTAGCTGACCAAAACTCTATAACTCTCTGTCCAGTTATGTATGGACTTGACTGAAGTCAAAACCTGAGGTTTGGGAAACAGAGCCTAGAAGAGGCAGGAATGGCCATCAGAAAGAGAGGTCAAATTAAGCCAATGTTTCTGCTAGCTCAGCCCACGTCGACTTGTACTGCCAAATATGACAGCAACATGCAAATAATCCATTTGCCCCTGAAGCCTCTGTGCTAATGTTGTGAGAAACAAGGCATTTTGCACCCTTGCCTTGTTTGACGGGGGGAAG